TCGTAAGATTGGCATAGTAATCAACCACAAAGCTTCCTGTGAAATCATCCATCCACTGAGTGAGAGCGTACGGGTCGGCCAGTCTGGTCCTGTTGGTCAGTGTTTACTCTTTCAAGCACACTCGCAGTCCGGAGAGTGAGTGACCTGATGTGGTGCGATTGTAAATTCAGTCTGATGCTCTACACTAAAATGAGAGTCCCGTTTGTCAAAGAAATGGAGCATTATATTTCTATATGAATTAACAGTTAAGTTAATCACACATTAACTCCGCTAGGCGCTCTGCTGCTCTGAGAGTGCGGTGGTCTGGATAACTGAATGATACATTTTGACAGTGCTCTGACTTTCTGAAAGGTCCAGTTTGTGCCAGAGTGCACTCCAACACTTGGAATAAGTATTTCTGAATGTACCACTCGCACCATCTCCCTCTATATTGAAAACGAGCCAACAGAAATTGCTAGCGAGTGCTAGCTAATGTCTGTGGAGAATTGTTTTTCCTCCAGTTAAGCCCCGCCCGCCAAAAAAACATCTTATTGGTGACTAACAGTATAAGGGTCTACACAGAGAGTATACAAGCGGATCAAGAGAGAGGCCCGCCCCCCTCTCTCTCAAACTCAGACCAAACTCTGATCCAACAGTAAAACTAAGCAGTGCTGAAATATAAACCAAGATTCTGTTACTGTTTTTCCTATTTCAAATATAAAATGTCCTCAGAAACAAATATTAGTGCACTGTTTGGCTGTAATACGAGAATTTGTGAACAGAAAGTGGGCGCCATACTGTTTCCTGTATTGTGAAAATGGGGGCTGAAAAAATACTGTGATCAAACAGTGAAAGAAGGCAGTGCTGATCAAATATGTATTAAGATTCTATTACTGTGTTGCTCATTTCTCGCCTAAAACGTTTAAGATTTCTGTCTCATGGTAATTAAAGACACTTGTTACCAGCCAGCGGCCATATTCTTTCCTGTGTCAAAAACAGCCAAGCTCGCATAACATCATCTACCAGGAGGAGCGTTTATTGGTCTGGTGCATCACAGTGCATTCTGGTAGTTGTAGGTTTTCTCTGGTCATGTAGCACCCATTTCAAAAGTATTTAAGTCTTTCTACTGCGGAGACAGCCTAGGTTTATAAAAAGACAATCTTTTGAGAATTTGTAATTGAAGTTGAGATAAGATTCTTCTGTCAGTGTTTGAAACGATAGTAATCAGAAATTGGTAGATACATGGTATGTGTTTAAGATTTAACAGTTGAAACCTTTTGATCAACTCTGCCTCAAGAAGGTCAATTACAAAATATAATCAACCAATAAACTCTGATGTGTTATTATAGGTCAAATAAGATGAGAGTTAATTGATCACTGGGAAAAATTCACAAGCATCCAGCAGTTTAATTAGCTATTAAATTAGCTTCACCTTTACTCAGCTGCAACATTAGAATTATATACACATTAAGGCATCAGTTATTATAATCCAATAATATGATAATATAATTATGAAATGGGCCATTCTGCTTAATAAGTGTCTTTACTTTTGGTTCTTTAAGTATATTCTGATGCTGGATGCAAATTTTGAATAATAAAAGTACATGACTTTTATTTGTAACAGGATGTTTCTGCACTGTAGTACTGCTAGTTTGATGTCAGTGAAAGATCTGAGTACTTCTTCCATCAGTGTAATAATGCTGCAGTCCATACATCCCACTCCTTCCAATCTTACATTTTGCCTCAGATGTTCTAGTGCAGAACCTGTCGCTGTTGTTTATATAATCTCCATTTATATAACCTCAGTTTGCTTATAATCCAATTTGACTTTTTCCTCTGTATCCGAATGCATTTGCTGCTGCAGCGACTCCCACAAGGAGCATTAAAGTTTTTATCCTTACTCTGCGTATATTAATTAATTCACACGACACAAATTAAGTGCACGGAGCTGGAAAATGTGAGCACAAGGTCCACAAGGACCTGCACCTTTTTGGTGACTTTGCCTTGACGATCCATTTAGAAATGTATAATTGATTCATCAGGACGTACAGTGGCTGACTGTGTGTTTGCAGAGGCTCTATTGAAAGCTGTACTGTACTCAGTGTGATGAGGAAAAATGGAGCCTGACAGGGAAATTATGTAAAGAGACTGTTTGATTTGAATCGAAGGTCATGATGATTTCTGTTGTTTCGTGGCCTCGTGGATGGCTATTATGTGGCCGCGCTGCTTGTCCAAACATCCCGAGTGCTTTTAGCATTCATGTGTTTTGATTGATTCTGATACACCTTCTATTATTACACCCAATGACGAGATTAACAGTGTCAGGAGGCAGCGGACCTGCTATATGACATCCGGATTGAGGTTACTTTTCAAGGATGAAGCATTGGTGCTTTTGAAACTTGAAATATTTCAGGATCAGGTGCGTTTTAGAAGCTGCTTTTGTGCAGAAGGCTTTTCATAGGAGAGGAATTTTGTCAAAAAACGGGTGTATTGATTGATTTAAAAGCAAGGTGCCTTAAGGAATGAATCACTGTCGACTGCTTTGTAACCCGAAGGTGATTTTATTTGTCAGGTCTCGTCTCCTCGCATTGTTGGGGGTTGATTGTGCTGTTGCTAGGGGTAATGCACACATGGTGCAATTGCCTTGTTCCCTGTGTATGTATGTGTGTGTATGTGTGTGTGTGTGCATCCATGTGCCTATATGACTTGGGGGGATTGCTGGGCAGTTATTTACATCCTTACACGGTCATCTATCTGTACACATTAACACAGGGATCAATCCTGCTCCCCCGCAGCCGTGGTTTACCAGGTCGCTAATGGGCACCTATCAAGGCTCAATCATAATGAGACTAAAGGAAATCGCATTAGAGCTTCAGTGATTCAGCTAACTAGATTGACAAACACAAGGACGTTTTCCTAACTGAGATGAATAGTCCCAATCATGCCATTAATTCATATGTTCCAGTGTCATTATGGATACTTGATTAGCCTCCGAGACTGGAGGAGACTGGCGTCAAAGCAGAGGAATGAGGCTGTTCACGTCCTGTCTGCTCGGCAAAAACAAATAGGAAACAAAGCATTACAGGTGGTTCGTTTCCCCGCTAATGGTAATTATGATGAGGCCAGTGGAGGACGGTGTGAGGCCAAATAAAGCAGCAGGTGGGTCATAGACACTTCACTGAGATCCTCACACAGCAGCAACAGTCTACCCACTTTCATCCTTAAATACCTGCTCCATTGTTTGACTGTTAATAAGTTGATATATGAGGGTCATGTGAGGGGTTTGTCTCAGGGCTGCAGTTATTTTCATCATCCATTAAACTGCAGGTTAACTTCTCAGTTAATGCCAGGAAATAGTGAAAAAGTCCATCAAAATTTCCCTGAGTCGTCGGCCAACAAACTGACCAACAATCCAAAACCACAAAACATTAAATCTACAATCGTAAAAAAATATAGAAAGGCAGCAAAATGACTCTAAACAGTTACTTAAATTCCATTATTCCATTACTGACAATTTTGCCATTTATTTTGTCAGTTAAACAGTTACTTGTTTGGTCTATATAATGTCAGAAAATAGTCAAAGATGGCCGTCATAGTGTCCTAGAGCTGAAGTTGATGTTTTCAACTTCAAATTTGCCATCCAAATCCAATTCTATCAAGTTTGCTATGGAGCTGCAATGATTACTTGATTATTCAATTGAATAAAAACATGACTTTGTACCTGATAATTAATTAATCATTTAGGCTAAGTCATTTTTAAGACAAACATTCGCTTTGACAGTTCCCGCTTTTCAAATATGAGAATTTTTGAAAAGCTGGAACCGTGACTTTTCATGGTGTTGGATTTTAGTAATTTTTTATAAATCTGTATCTGTATATATTTAGTTTTTTGACTTGTCAAACAAGACATGACATTTGATGATGTCACCACTAGAGCTGCAACAATTTATTGTTAATTAATCATTGCCAACTGTTAAATTAATTGCCAACTAATTTGGGAATAATTGATCTGTTTGAGTAATTTTTTTGAGAAAAACAAGTCAAAATGTTCTAATTTCAGTGTCTACAATATGAATACTTTCTGGTTTCTTTACTCTTTTATGACAGTAAACTGAATCTCTTTGGGTTCAACATCATCAACATCTTTTTTTTGACCATTTTCTGCCATTTTATAGACCAAACAACTGATTTATTAATCAAGAAAACAATTGACAGATTAAAAGAGAGTAGAAAATAATCCTTAGCTGCAGCCATAGTTACCACCATCTAGGACAGTGATGCACATTTTAACTGTTTTCCAATGTTTTACAGGTCAATCAGTTCATTGAGAAAATAATCTGCAAATGAATTGATGATAAAAACAGTCGTCAGCTGCAGAAAAGGTGCAATTCTTAATCTCGAACAAGGGAATTTTTGGCTGTTGCTCTTTAAAAATGACTTAAATAATTAATTGTCGAAATAGCTGCCTGTTCATTTTCTGGCAATCAACTAGTGGCTAGTCATTTGAGCAGTAGCTCAGTTTTAAAACCTGCTTAGATAAAGCTCATAGTGTTTATACCTCTAAGACTACAGTGGTACAAGTGTTGGGATGCCAGTCATGTGACTTGTCATCCCCATGGTTATTTATGATGGCTTAAATGAAATCATCTTACTCCTTGTACCTCCTATGTTTTCCTGAGTAGAAAATAAACACACAACACCCCTACACGCACTTAGTAAAGCATATTTAAGATTCAGGATCAGTTTAATAACCTTTTTGTAGGTGTCAAAAAAAGTCAATGTTGTACAAAATGTACTGCAGAGCTCCGAGTCTGAACTATAAAAGCACCATTGACAAGTGATGAACCCCAGCACTTGTTCCGTGATTCATTGATATAGTAACTAGGCCACATTTATGATTCAAGTGATAAAAATTTAACAATGTTAGAATATATAATGTGATTGTACTGAAGAGTAAGCTGCTCCTATGCACTGTTTAATTTCCTGCCATAATAGCCACATCAAACAGAATACATACTCACCCTGTATGGCTTTGACAAAACACGATCCTCCAGAGTTAAATGGGCGCACGGCCAGCTCTTTGATACGCTCTGTTTTTCCTTTTACTCCTTCAGTCTGGCAGAGTTGTCACAGTTTTTTCTCCCTGTCTTTCTCAGCTCTGTTCGTCTTCTTTCTGTTTCAAAGCGTTGGCTTCACACCTTCCCTCGCTGGCTTGCTCTTCCCCTCCCCTGCTCCCTCTCGCTGACTTTTTTTCCTCTGTGCTCCTCTCTCCAACGAGGTGAAAAACACACTTGCCAAATACAGGTAGGTCATCACACCGTCTCTCATCCTCATCAGTTGCTAAGTACGAGGTGCTTTGATGCGAACAAGTTTTTCAGCATCGTTGTCGTGTGCTGTATAGCTCCTGAACGGTCCGTTTTTCTCTCCGAGATGAGATGGTGAAAAGCAACAGCTGTTCAACATCAGTGTCCATTTGACAGAGCAGCTTAGGTGCCTCGTTGGTGCTATTCAGAGCTTTTTCACAGAAGGATGAATTACTGGAAACGGCTCCTGGTCCTCAGCAGGGATAATCACGTGAAGATCTCATCAAAGCCTTTTCTTCTTCACCAAAGATAAACTCAGCATCTTCTGGGAAATCGATAAAAAAAGCAGAAAAAGTTGCAGTTTCTCACTCCTTCTGCAAAATTTTGAGCAACTCCGCTGGCAAGGAAAGCGGAGTAAAGCTTCTCCAATCCTCAAGGCTGCCCAGATTGGATGACTTTTTGTCTCCTACCAGGCTTCTGCTCGCCACGTCTGATGAAGCTGCCCGGATGCACGTTTGAACTAATGTCCTCAACCAACACGCAGATTCAACTGTGAGCCACTATTAGGAGAAATTCCCACATGGCCGGAAGCTTCATCCTGTATCCGAGCACTGAGCAACATGTAAAAGGAGGGAGGAAGAGGTGAGGAGGTGGAGGAGTAGGATGAAGCAGAGGAGGGGAGGAGCTGGAGGAGGAGTCAATGTGGGTGTCAGGGCTGACTGTTTGCCTTTGCATATGCAGTGCTCACAGCCGTACGTCTTCATCAGAAGGGGGAATGCATTCACACGACTGCTGGCTATGTCCCACTTCATGGTGACTCTGTTAATCCTCAGAGTGTGAACCCTCTTTAAAAGCAGTGAGAGTCAGTGTGGAGAGATTTGCAGAGTTTTTCAACTGCTTTCAGTTTACCAGGTAATCTCAGCCGCCTCTGTTGGCCTCACAGTGAGTGCTTTCACTGTGCGCCTTCTGTTTCTGTTGGTGTGACCTTCACTGCTTAGATAAGCTTCTTTCTGTAGATGCAACAAAGGAGGGAGCAAACAAATTAGGTTTTTTTTCTTCATAAGTAGCTGCACTGAAGTGAGAAGTTAATTTTCTCAGTGGCTGAAATGTAAATTCAGTGGGAAGCAGAGAGGAAGAGCGGATATCAGTAGTATAGCTCAGCCAGTAAGGGATTTTTCATCATAAACTCATAATGTATTGTGACTGAGATACATACTCAGCAGGATATTATACAGCTGAAAAGGTCTTTGCTGGACATTCATAATCATCAGCCCTTTTTACGCAGATATCATGCTGTGGGGCTGCGACAAAGTCCCTTCTTCATGCTGCCTTTGCATTTTACATAGAACCAAACAACAGCGACATCATGCCACTCCATGTGTGACATTAGACAGCATGCCGGCATCATGGTAGCAAGAGGTGTGAAGGGCGTGACATGTAACACCATGGCGTCAGCCTCCAGTATGACATAAAACATACGTGTCAACAGTGCATTCTAAACAATAACACAGGCATTAACGTGGAAATAACAATCATTTACTGACTCTGTTATCTGGAGGCTGATCTTGTATTGATCTCGAATTTACTGACATTTTTAGCTGCGGTTCCTCTTCTTTTAGTTAGCCACTAACTGCTAACAGCTACTTTTTAAATCTCCCACAGTGGGTTGCATGCATAATACATCATCAAGACGTCACACTTGTGCGCCCATGATCCCGTCCTGCCAGCTGCCCTGTTTATACAGACTCCATTTTGGCACTGTTATTACCGCACGTAGCAGCTTAAAGGGGAGATCACTCTGTCCCCCTATTCTGTGTTTGTACCTTATATATAGAACAGTGAGGTGGCATAATGGTGTGAAATTCCCACCTTGAACAGGCAGTGTAAAAGGGGCTATTGTTTCTATATGACCTCAGACCTAGTTTGGCATTTCAGTACCGCAATTTGCTGTTACTCATCGGCCCACATAAACACTAATACCCTGGGTACTCCAGCTTCCTCCCACAGTCCAAAGACATGCAGGTTAATTGGTGACTCTAAATTGTCCGTAGGTGTGAATGTGAGTGTGAATGGTTGACTGTCTCTATGTGTCAGCCCTGTGATAGTCTGGTGACCTGTCCAGGGTGTACCCTGCCTCTCGCCCAATGTCAGCTGGGATAGGCTCCAGCCCCCCCTGACCCCCAACAAAATAAGAGGTTATGAAAATGGATGGATGATATATCTCCAATAGAGGTTGATCAATTTATTGGTTTGGCTGATTAATCTACACCAATGGGATGTTTTACAAACTATTGTTTTCGGAAGAACTTGGCTCCGACAGTGGCCGACAGCTGAACAGCCTCCGCCCGTGACACAGTGAAGTGCCTACATTACTGACTGGAGAAGAAGAGGGTTGTGTTAAATGATCAGTGGCTACAACTCCAGTTAAAGCAGGTCCCATCTGCTGTATTAGTGTGTCTAAGTTTATTGCTCTTCGTTTTAACATGTAATTGCATGATATTTTTGGCAGAGCCACAGCAGCTGATCTGGCCCTGTAAACATGAAAGTCTGTGACGGAGTGAATGCCACACTTCTTGTCTCAAATGAAAAGCCCTCATTTCAAATTAAAAACTGTCCAGCATTTCAGAGCCAGTCTTTTTTTGATGTTCAATGAATCATGAAATAATTTCAATATTCTGAAAATACAAAATGACTCAACAATCTTTCTAACTCTTGTTACAGTTTACATTTGAATTTTTTTTTTTCAGTCCTGTCAATTAGCAATTACAAAGTGCTCCAAAGTATTTGAATTACTGCTTTGAATGCAGGCTCCATACTCAAAGTCAAGGTAATGCCATTGTGTACCTGAGAACCTCAGGTTGACTTTGAGGGAAGATAATAACTAAAAGAAGTCACTCCCACCTTTATTTTTCACAGTTAGTCTGATGTTCAGCTCCAGATTTATATATTTATTTAGACATTTACTACTTTGAGTTTGATATGCAGTGATCTAGATTCATTCATTTATTTAGGTATCTACTACCTGACTTGAATAGTCAGTCCTACAGTTATTTGAGCATCATCCAGTTTTTGATAAGTGGTTGGAGTGTGGGGTTTGATATCGGCCCATCAATCAGCTATCTACTTTTTCCTGCTCCAAACCATCATCAGTATATTGGCCTTCGCTGCAGTTGATCGAAATTGTTAAAGTTAGGTAAGTTAGAGAGTAATAATGTCGGTTCCTGTGTCTTTTTAATTAATGGCCCAGCCGTACCACTGCTAAGATACTATCCATGTTTTTGGGAGACATAACCCCACAGCCTTGTGGCAATTGTAATGGGTTGTTGTGAGTATCATTATAACGATTTGGAGAAACATGGAAAGGATCAACAACAAGAGATTGATCCACCATTGACTAGTCAAGGAAAATAGTCAATGTCCCCAGCAAATTCTCAACATGCTTTGGACCAATGCTTTCGGCTGTTTGTTGCGTTATTTAAGAGCACCTATTAGCCTCTCATCTGTGTCCTACTTGTTGCTGGATTCACGAGCAGCTGTTCATATCTGTAAGCAGCGTCCAATCCAGCGCAGAACAGCTTGGTGATTGCTGTTGACGCAGTGAGACTAACACATGGTCACGTGTTGTGGAACATGCCATCAGCTCCCAACACCACACTGACATGACGCCTCGTACAGGTTAGCAGCAGTGATGAAGATGTCATTGTTAGTGGATGGCAGTTTTGGCTTTATTAAGTTATTTATGACCATTACATGAAGTTGTCATTAAGACCATGTTTCTCAGCATTTTTGGGTCCTGACCCAAAAATGTGTCTCCAGACCCCAGTGATTAAAACATTGCTAAGTTGTCATAACAATATAACTCAGTTTGAGAAAGCAGCCAAATGAAAACAGTGTTTATTGGAGACATAAATTTGGCCAAAGGGAATGTGATTGCATTGGTTCTATCAGTTTCTCTTTGAAAGCTGGATGGATACGGTGATGTGCCATACAGTATCACTGTTATGAATGTCTGAGTTGACGCTGGACCAGGACAGGGTTTCAGTGAGGTAACGTTAGTGATGGTAACAACCCCACGCATTCATTGTACTGCAGATTTTGGTGTTTTTTCAGGTGGTTTAACAAATTTGTTGTGTTGCTTTCTGGCGCAGGCACAAGTCTCATGCACTCTTTGACCAATTTGTTCTCTCCTAAATCTGAAATACTTCCAAACAACAGATGATGACAGTTAGTGAGCAGATGATTGTCATTTTTCCCGTCTACAGCTGCAACATTCAGGAAGGATTTTCTCAGGCGGTTGCTGCAGGGTGCACGCTTAGCTAAGGTTGCAGCAGTAGGAGATGTTCACCGTACAATTACCGTCTCAGAAAATATTGCGGTTTCACCATATCATGGTATTACAGAATATATATTATTATCAGTCAGAAGGACCCTCAAAGGAATGAAAACAGAAGGGTTATTTTTGGTTAAACAAACATTTTATTACTATAATTGAAACTTGAAACCATTTTGTTCACTGTGTAAAATATTGTAGATGAGCACGTGCACATGGTATGATAGCTGTCAGTTTTCATATCACAGTAAACCTTGAAACCGGTATATGGCTGCAACCCTACGCATAGCAGACAGCTCTTCATAAAATGGAGGGTTAGGTTTAGCTTAGTTCAGGAAGCGCTTGATTTAATATGCAGCAGAGTTTTGGAGCATTTTAGACATCAGCATTGCAGTCGATCATGTTCGTTCAATTGTGGGAAGCCAAAATTGTGATGGTGATCAATATTTGATTAACTGTGCCGCTGCTGTATCTTCCAAATTGGGGATATAGAGATTATGTCTTTCAAATCTAATCAAAGCTAACCCATATACTTTCTCATGTTGTTGCCCTGTGCAGTGGTGTGAGGTCTGCAGCAAAGATGGCAGAGTTGTTACAGGCATTTGTGTGGAAGCGGTGTTTGAATTTAAATGAGCCAATGTAGAATGTGGAAAATTGGTCCAACTAGCATGGGCTTCAATTTTAGTGCATGGAAATACAAACAGGATGAAATATATCACTTCCATTTAGAGCTGTAACATAAAGGTAATAAGTTGTCAACTGTTAAACTATTTTACAACTAATTTAACAATAAGTTAATTGGTTTGAGTCATTTTTTCAAACAAAAAGAAATTCTCTGATTCCAGCCTCCTAACTTAAAATAATTTCTGCTTTCTTTACTCCTCTATGACAGTAAACTGAATATCTTTGGGTTGTGGACAAAACAAGACATTTGAGGGTGTCATCTTGGGTTTTGGAAAACACTGATTAATATTTCAAACTTTTATAACAGCTAATCAGTTAATTGTGAAAATAATCTACAGATTATAGCTGCTGCGCAGCGATGGGTCAGGTGCGGGAATTTTTAGGCAATTCTGAGCAACAAGCAGAAGAATTGGAAGACATTTAGGAATTTAGCAACACAATCTGCCTTTTGCATCAGCTGATGCTTAAACTCACAACCTCTAAGACTAAGAATCAGTTTCTATCT